CCCACTCTCCCTCTCCTCTCTCTCTCTCATTTCAGGTAAGGTTTGCTAAAGCTGGAGCTAAAGATAAACGAAAGTGGAGCCTGAGGAACCTTGGAAAGCTGTAAGCTACCACTCACTTGAAGTAAAGCTATGGATAATTGTTGCTAGTATTTTTTATGTTGCTATTAACTTTTTAAAAAGGCCAAAATGCAACGAAAATTACAAAACGAGCATGATTTTTATTATTATTATTATGCTTTTTATTGTTTCATATTAGGTGTTAATGTATGGTACATTAGTGGCAGAGGAGGTGTATCTCTTAATTCATTGGGTCAATGTTCCCTCCCACTCAATGTACTGGAGACTGGAACTGAGACATAGTGTCATTCTTCCTTAGGAATAGAGGTAAATGATACTATTTGTAGTAATACTGATACTATTTATAGTACAATGCTATTGATTGACACTATGCTATTGTAGTATATGATATATCATTGTCTATTGTAGTAATTGATACTATTTATAGTAACGATGCTAGGGTACACATTTGGTAGTGATGTAGTAATTCAAAAATTGTCCATTGCACAAAAACTTGTTGTCGGAATGAACTCAAACTTTTTTATTAGCAACAGACAGACAGACGTAAATAGTAATAATGATGTATATTGCTTTGCTTGGCTCGTCCCCTTAATGTTTTACATCCATCTTGTAATAATGTATCATTTTGTAATATTGGGAACTGTGATTTGAATTGAATAGTAAGCAGAAATAGATTAAGTGAAACACAACTGAGTGTATGAAAGAACAGCATGCGTATCTCAGTAATCTGAGAATGGCAACTACCGTAATTCCTCTAAATATTCGACGCTCTAAATTCGAAAATAAATAATTATTTCAAAATTTCTACCATAATTCATTCTAAAATTTTTTTTTAATATTATTGTTCCACGTGGTTCTAATTTCATCACTTACCTAAGTTCAGTATGAGAGAAGGATACTCTGAAGAGCCAGGTTAGGATACAGCTGGTTTCGTGTATTAATGGATCCCTCCAAATTCGACAAAATAATTTATTTTTGAGCTTCATAGCTACTCTCCCTCTAAAAATTTGTTTTTAAAAATTACAAATACAAAACTTGATGTGACGAATTTTTAGAGGAAATACAGTAGGCTAGGTTCAAAGAGGACTTTAAATGAGAATTGAATAATGAAGTAGAAGGAAGAAGGAAAAATGAACAAACAACAGACACAGTAGAAGCATGCACTTATATACTAAAAATTATAATGCATCTTATGATGTCATTTTGACAGTCCATCTATAAATAGAAATAGTACTAATGGCCACAATAAGGATAACACACATACCATATTTGCTCGATTAAACGCCCAGGTGTTTATTTCTTAACAGGAAAAAAATCAGGTAAAAGAAAAACAAAAAAGCCTCTAAGGAACTCGAACCCGCGACCAGACATGGGGTAATAGTAATAGATAATAGTAATAGTAATAGTAAAGATTACATATTTTGAAGTAATTGTAATAGTAATAGTAATGGAGGAATCAAAAAACCAAGTAATAGTAATTGTAATAGTAGGAGACAGTTAAGTAATAGTAATATAATAGTAATTGTACATATTGTAATACATTATTGTACAAGTATTCAATGTACATGTACAGGTACATGTACATTGAATGTGCATTCAAGTCTGTCTGCTCTGACAAAAGCTTCATCTGCTCCAGTGGTATTCAGTATAGGAGGGAAAATTTTAGACTGGAATGATGCAGACTTTCTGATACTGTTTTTGAGAAACTTATAAGTATAAAATGTAATGGTCATTTGCTTTAAAGAGAATTGATTTGAAATTATAATGTAATCGTAATATAATTAGATTACATTTAGTCATGCATATGCAGTAATAGTAATAGTAATAATGAAATTAGTGGAGTAATAGTAATAGTAATATATTACATTTACATCTACTAAACATGTAATTGTAATTGTAATAGAATTTTTTTCTAGTTAATAGTAATAGTAATATATTACTTTCTAATGTAATTGACCCCATGTCTGCCCGCGACCTTTGAGCAATCCAAACTGTACTCCAACAGTTAGGCTATCTGGCACAATCTTAAGGCTAGGCACATATACTGGCTGAAATATGCATATCTATAGTTAGAAAATATTTGTCATGGGCGTTTATTTGAGCAGGGCGTTTATTTGAGCGAATACAGTACATGTAATTAACAATATGAATGATAATAATAATACATGCATAATGATCATTACATAACATCTGTACAACAATGATGATTACGATAATAATACTAATAATGATATATTGATAATATTGATAAGTTATGTGTACAGTGGAACCTGTGCTAACGGTCACCTGAGTAGTGAGGCCACCTCTTTATTACAGCCATAGGCCAAAATCCCGATCGAGACCTGTACTAAAGGATCAGCTATTGACTTGTCTAATGCGTCCCTGTGTAATGCGTAAAGCGGCTGCTCGTCCAAGTCCCCTTTGGTCTGATAGAACCTTGCTATTCCGGCCAACCGGAAACCACACCCATTATTGATCATTGTTGAGTTTATTAGTTTAGTCAGTTTAATAATAAATTTTATTCAGTTTAATACTAAATTAATTATGATGCATATCAGTGATATCAATCAATTCAATTAACTTTCTTGACCTGTATTAGGCTGTATAAACAGGCCATTCCATTACATAATGGTCAATGGCTGTATTACAGAGGCTGATCTGTAATGCAGCCACCTGCATAATCAGGCCATTTAAAACTGGCCCAAGGGTGACCAGATTAAGCAGGTTTCACTGTACATGTACATGTATGCATAAATGTCAAAGCACCATTATCACACATTTAATAATGAATAATAGTTATAAACAAAATAATATACTATAGGCAGTCATCTTAACAAATGATAGAAAATAATAATTTCAATAAACAGATGAACTAGGCAATTATAACTGGTTTGATGTACAATATTTATCTCTAATGTTAGTAGCAATAGATTTCTCTTCTATTGTATCCAGTGCTGTAGCTAATGATGACCAACTGGGACCTCCTTTCTCTCTCACTTTATCTTCTCCTCTTAACCAGGCAGACATACAAGCATGGAAACATTTTACTGGATCTCCTCTGTGTCTCTCATCTATATCTACTAGTCTAGGATCATATAATCCTAACTGTAGACCTAGTCTGTGCCATACAGAACAGGACAAGTATTGATCTGATGTTAATTCTTTAATGACAATATCAAGATCTTTAATATCTATAAAAAAATAATTAATAATGTGTATATACACTGTACAGTCTACACTCCCACTACTTGACAATTGAGATAGTTACAACATACCTAGCTTTATTGGAGTCAATGGTGTCTTGAATTCTTCAGATATTTGAATCACTTCCTATACAATAATAATAATAATAACTAATATTTGTCACTGTGCTTGTTTATCAAGGTGATATCTATCAGTAGTATATTGCTGAAAGGTGAGTTTAACAGATGCACAAGTATATATTATTAGTGGTAAAAGCCACACAATGACAACCCACAATTATGACAAAGACTGAGTAATTTGATAAAAAATACAATTACTTTTTAAAGACATCAACCTTTTGATTATTAGTGCTTGTATTAATGTATCAAACAGTTTGTGTGTGTGTTAATTCTTACCTTAATATCACGTCCTCCTAATAGTGACAGGTTACTAATATCTGATAATGATTCATCAGGTAGGATCTCCTTCACCTTTTGACCTTTAGTACCAGTAGCATTTACTAAAAACTCTTCTCTCTTGACAATAGCAGATATCATAGACTTTACACTGTACGCTGTCCTTTCTCTTGGTGTATTCACAGGATAGGCTAGTTCTTTAGGATCAATAACTAACTCTTTTACCTCTAGACTGGGACAGGATTCTTTATAAACACTCATTACCTTTCCTATCACATCTCTCTTTAGAGACACCATTTTGTCACTGTAACCTTTCTCACAGGACATCATTACTAGTACACACTGGCTCTCATCCATAATCTCTACCAGTGATCCTACACCATGACTATTAAACCAATAAAGTCCATTCTTCCAAAATGTACAACGTCGCTTTAACTTGTCATCTTCTTGAGGTTGAGCCATTTCATAAGCAAGACGTAATGAGAGGACATGGAAGTATTGAGGAGGAAAGAAATGATGTTTACTAGTACACTGTAGACACCAACCAAACTGGTATACTTGACTAGTCATCTCATCAGGTCTATTGGTAGACAAAAGACATGGAAAGAACAACAACCTTTCTCCTCTTCTTTCTGTCCCTCCCTCCTCCTCCTCTTCCACTGCTAACTGATGGAGGTTTGTCATTCTTAGGAAAAATGGACTGATTTCTTCACACAGTTCCATGTTCTTTAGAAAACGAATCAACATGTCAGGATCATATTCAGGGAAGAGTCTAGTCAGACCAGACACACTAACAATACCAGTATTGCTAGCAATGTCAACGTGTTCTTTGGATGTCTCTGGAGCAAAGAGAATCCCATCTACCTCAGTTAGTAGTATACCCTTATTCACAACAACCCATACCTTGTCTTCACTTTTAAGAACACTGATCAAACCAGTTGAGTGCAACGAACGAAGAACATCCAAGACGTCATCTCTTTTATCTGGTATAAAGTAGCCATCATTGTCCATACCAGCAGACATTACATCAGAGAGGGTCAGTATATTCTCTTTCCTTTCCTCCAGTAGACCATACATCATGTGACAATAAAGACTCAAATTCCTTCCATTTGTACTACGAATGGACTCACAGGCACTAGACAATTTATTAAAGAAGGAATCCACACCACTCCCACCAAGCTTACGACAATCTAAGAAGACACTATCACACCTTTCCTTTACAATAATCTCCTGTATTTCTTCCTTTCTCCTTCTCCTTTCAACAGGATTACTTATCTCATCCACATGACTGACTGTTACAATAACATGGGATTGATTAAGAGCTTTTTGTGCTTCATTTCTGACAACTGTTAGCCACTGATGAAGCTGTTTGACTGGTTCCTTGTCCAATATATTGACTACTATGAGGAACACACCACCAGAACCTTGTAAGAGATTCTCAATGACAGCACTGTGACTGGAGTAGTATTCAGAATGACCAGCAAAATCATGAAGATTGATGTTACCCAGTGTCCTGTGTTGTAGTTTGTAAGGAATGATACCAGCAGTACAGGGCACTACCCCTCCAACATTTCTAAAGGAACCAAGAACAAAAGGGCCAGTAGCTGTGTCATTGATGACATGACTAAGAGTACTTTTACCAGCTCCAGGATTACCCACAAGGAGGACGTTAACATAAGAATCAATTGGATGAGACGATTTTATATCACCAAACTTCTTAAAGACAGAAAGAATACCTGTTTCACCTCTCTCCTTAGCTAGTTTAAATGGTGTTCTCCCCTTATTGTCTTTAGCCAATAGATCACATTTACCAGTTGATAGTAAATATTCAACAGCTGCAGATTTACCCCAACTAGCAGCAAAGTGAAGAGGTGTCCACCCCAGCAACCTTTCAACAGCCATTGTATCATGGTTCCACTCATTGATTAGATATTTGATTACATCAGGTGAGTTCTTACTAGCTGCTTCATGAAGAATTGTCATGTTGCTAGAGTCATTAGCCATTGGATCACAGTGACACTCATTAATGAGATACTTTACAATATCAATGTGCTCAGCAGCATAGTGAAGAACAGTTTTACGTATATTGGTAGTAGCCATTGGATCACAGTGACACTCATTAATGAGATATTTTACAATATCAATGTGTTCAGCAGCACAGTGAAGAACAGTCTCACCCCAATTGTTAGTAGCCATTGGATCACAGTGATGATGATTGATCAAGTACTTCATGAAATCAAGTGATCCTTTATTAGCTACTTTGTGAAGAACAGTATTTCCATGCATATCAGTAACCTTTGGATCACAGTGACACTCATCAATGAGATATCTCATCACATCGACATGATTACCTTCTGCAGCCCAATGAAGACAAGTCCGATCCATACCATCTCTTTCCTGTGGATCACAGTGATATTTAGTGATGAGATCTTTTGTAACATCTAACCAGCCATGCCTTGAAGACAAATGAAGTAAACTAGTATTATCACACAAATAGCTTATTTTAATTTTATTTAGTTCCTTCACTAATGGTAGTAAGCGAACAGCTTCTTCATGATCTTTTTTCACAAACACAGCCCAACACTTGACCTCTAAAGACATCTTGTGATCAGTTAATTAGATTCATTGATACCAGCCCACACACAGATAGTACTATACACACATTATGAAATCATTAACTGAGCTTTGAGAAAGAGAGACAGAAAATATAATAATTAAATACATGTACATGTACATGCACAGAATACTGTATAGCTCCAAATTTATGTCAGTCAAAAATTTTGTCAAAATTTTAGTTTCTTGTTAAAATTATTTTTGTTAATAAAATTTTGTTTTATTTATTATAAATTTGCATGAAGCAAAAATTTTTGACAAATTTAATCAATTTTTGACCAATGAAAATTTTAGCTATAGGGTAGTATTAATAATAAATTAAATTTGCTGTTGATTGTGTTCAGGAATTTTTATGCTGAAGTAGCTCAGTTTTTATGCTTCATCATCTGTTTAATTACTATTATGACATCATGCAGGCATATATATATATATATATATATATATGTAGTACTATTAATATTGATGTGTGTCAGTAATGCTTGTTACTATTAATAGATGATAGTTATGGAAGTGACAAGAGGAAGAGCAGCAGTGAGTCCTTACCTTCTCCTCCTCCCATTCCTCCTGATCAACTGGATGCAACTGTCAACCTTCTCTCATCAATAATAAAGTAAATTATGATAATAATAATAATATTACATTCACTTGTACATGTACATCAATTTTGTTAAGTTAATTTAGTTAATGGTCAAAATTAAAGAAAAAACTGTACAATATAAACTGTACAATAAATAAAAGCTTTAATAAAAACTTCCATGTAATTAAAGAAAATTGTCGTCCCAAAAGTTTCGTTATTCGGAAGTTCCACTGTATGTACCGTAATTCTTCTAAAATTTCGCACCTCTAATTTTGAAAATGAATAATTTTTAAGGTATTGTATTTCAAAATTAATTTGTAATTATTTGTTTTGTAAATTATGTTGAAAGTTCTTCTAATTTCACCATTTCCCCCCAATTTTGACACTCAACAGCATTATAACACATGGAACTGTGCTGGAAGAGGCCGAAAATCATGTCTAACTCACAGTGATACCTCGAGCAGCACTCTGCCTGACAGATGACTGCCATTAGTAGGCCTAAGTTCAAGATCCAGATTGTGAAGATTATTAGTTAAGCAACAAAGAAGCATCAACAGACTTATATCTTGTCCAAACATGCATCTTAGTGCCTCCTGTTTCATCATAATTAATTGCTAGTTGGCCATAAAGGCTTAGTTTACTATAATTATTTGTTTTCAAAATTTATTTATCAAAAGTGACTGTGGCGAATTTTTAGAAGAATTACGGTAATGATGGTACAGTACTTATTTGTAGTGATTTATTAATTTTACAATTGCCCATTGTACAAAAATTTGATGAGAAATAAAATTACTTTTTAAAGATATGACCTTTTGATTATTAGTGCTTGTATTAATGTATCAAACAGTTTGTGTGTGTGTTAATTCTTACCTTAATATCACGTCCTCCTAATAGTGACAGGTTACTAATATCTGATAATATTTCACAACTTAAGATCTCCTTCAATTCTGTATTTATGGAACCAGTGGTAACAAGAAATGGTCGTTGTTCAACTACTGCTGAGAGTACAGCTTTTACACTATACACTGTCCTTTCTCTTGGTGTATTCACAGGATAGGCTAGTTCTTTAGGATCAATAACTAACTCTTTTACCTCTAGACTGGGACAGGATTCTTTATAAACACTCATTACCTCTCGATCCTATCACATCTCTTCCTACTGACATTATAATGTGTTCTTTAAAGGACATCATTACTAGTACACACTGGCTCTCATTCACAATCTCTACCAGTCATCCTACACCATGACCATTAGACCAATAAAATCCATTCTTCCAAAATGTACAGTAATGATTTAACTTGTCATCTTCTTGAAATAGAGCCATTTTGTCATTTGTAAACAAGACGTAATGAGAGGACATGGAAGTATCAAGGAGGATAGAAATGATGTTTACTAGTACACTGTAGACACCAACCAAACTGGTACACTTGACTAGTCATCTCATCATGTCTATCAGTAGACAAAAGACATGAAAAGAACAACAACCTTTCTCTTCTTCTTTCTGTCCCTCCCTCCTCCTCCTCTTCCACTGCTAACTGATGGAGGTTTGTCATTCTTAGAAAAGATGGACTAATTTCTTCACAGAGTTCCATTTTCTTCAGAAAACGAATCAACATGTCAGGATCATATTTAGGGAAGTGTCTAGTCAGACCAGACACACTAACAATACCAGTATTGCTAGCAATGTCAACGTGTTCTTTGAATGTCTCTAGAGCAAAGAGAATCCCATCCACCTCAGTTAGTAGTATACCCTTATTCACAACAACCCATACCTTGTCTTCACTTTTAAGAACACTGATCAAACCAGTTGAGTGCAACAAATGAAGAACTTCCAAGATGCCTTCTGTCTTATCTTGTATAAAGTAATCATTATTGTCCTTACCAGCAGACATTAAATCAGAGAGGATCAGTATATTCACTTTCCTTTCCTCCAGTAGACCATACATCATGT